TTACACAGGAGGCCTCTTACATCACGTAGCCTTACTCTGGAGTCCTCTTACATCACGTAGTTTTACACACACAAGAGGCCTCTAACATCACGTAGTCTTACACTGGAGGCCTCTAACATCACGTAGCCTTACACAAGAGGCCTCTAACATCACGTAGTCTTGCCCAGGAGGCCTCTAACATCACGTAGCCTTACACAGGAGACCTCTTACATCACGTAGTCTTACACAAGAGGCCTCTAACATCACGTAGCCTTACACAGGAGATCTCTTACATCACGTAGCCTTACACAAGAGGCCTCTAACATCACGTAGCCTTACACAGGAGACCTCTTACATCACGTAGCCTTACACAGGAGACCTCTTACATCACGTAGCCTTACACAAGAGACCTCTTACATCACGTAGCCTTACACAGGAGACCTCTTACATCACGTAGCCTTACACAGGAGGCCTCTAACATCACGTAGCCTTACACAGGAGACCTCTTACATCACGTAGCCTTACTCTGGTGGCCTATTACCCTTCATTCACTCTACTCTTCTCCATTTATTCATTCTTTTATCTCATACATTTGAATTATATGTTTTATGTATTTTATTTAATCGCATGTTACATGTATATCACCCAACCTATTCCTGATATTCATATATAAATATTGAAAGTTCATACAAATTTATAAATGTATTTATATGTCAACAATTCTGCTTTATTGAGTTTTTTTATTGCTATCGTTTCCAGCATTTTTAGACCAAATGCTATTGACACTCGCATTCTTACTGTCAGTGTCATTATCAAGAGTATATACACATGTAAGTCATAAACACGTTATACACTTTACGACTGCCGAGATCTCTGTGTGAAAATTTAAAGCTGAAATTAATATAACATCAAACGTTTAGACGTGAGAAAGAAGGTTTACGTCACAAGTGAACTCACAAGTGTACATATCCGTTATACAGTATTTTATGATATAGGGAGGGCTCACAGCCGTCTAAATAGTTCCTTATGTAAATGTACTCCTTTATATAAGGAATCGTAGAAACTGCGAAACAATTTAATCCAACAAACCATAGGCAAACCATCAGCCATATACAGTGTTTAATGAAGTATAGATAAACTCAAAACAAATCAGTGTTCAGAGTCTACACATTGTTATCTTACTTCAACGGTTGATAATCGTCGTCAATGATGCTATTTACCGACATTCGAACAGGACCGTGTATTGATTAGCAGTTACATAAGTGGTATCTATTCATGACGGAATACAATGCGTCAAAACTAGATCGATTCTTTATCTGTACAGTATAAATATATAAATTTTATAAACGTTAATGACTCCACCGACTTGACGTTGTACCGACCAGTACGACATATAGACCCGACAGAGGTGTAAGGTCTTGCTGGGCCGTTGGCGATAGTTGAGGGAAACAGAAAATATGTTTGGAAAAATTCGGCATTATCATTGGAAATGGAAACGTACGCAATCTTCATAAAGAGAGGGAATATCTGACTATTGTGATCAGCTGCAACGAGTATTGTTTTACTACCAAGTGTGTATATAGCATTACGTGTGAGTGATACAAGGGTAGGTGTCGGTTATTTAGTGATTATAATTAGTACTTTCATTTATCGGATGATTCGTTTACTCTCCAGTAGAGATAAATTATCAATTAATGACAAGACCAGTTACCTGTTTACAAGTTCGATGACAAGGAGTGGATGGTTGAGGCACCACTGAAATGACAAATACACGAATCATTGCGAGCTTCATTCCTAAAGTTATATCATCGAATTGAAATATACCAAAACAGTTGAATAAGGCCGTATTTAAAATGTAATGGTGATTTCTGCTTTTCCACTCGTGTTATCGTTATTTCTAAATAAGATGTTTCTTCTTTTACTGTTTTACACATTTACTTTTCTTATATTTTTCCGTATTTACCATTTGTTCCTCCTTTCACTCTCAAAGCCAAAAATATTTTCCGCTTCTGTCTTTCTTATTTTGTTCCTGTAAATCATTCTTTATATTCCTCGTTCTTTATCTTTCTTTTTTTTCTATCCACTTACGGAACATTTCTGCACAAGAAATACAATTTCGTGTATAGTTAACGTTAAGACGGAACATTTTCAACAGCTACCACAGAAAAATTATCAAATGAGACGTTTTGTCGTTTAAAGCCACGAACATGACACGAGTATTTGAGTACTAAGTAACATGTGATATGTTTTTTACAGGTTTTTATTGTACTGACATGCAACAAAAGAAATCATGCGAACTTATAATTAAAAAGTATGTGTCATTTTGTTAAAACTAAGTGTAATTCTGTTAGAAGTATGTGTCATTTTGTTAAAAGTAAGTGTAATTCTGTTAAAAGTAAGTGTAATTCTGTTAGAAGTACGGGTAATTCTGTTAGAAGTATGTGTCATTTTGTTAAAGCTAAGTGTAATTCTGTTAGAAGTATGTGTAATTTAATCAAAAGTAAATGTATTTCTGTTAGAAGTATGTGAAATTTTATTAAAAGTAAATGTAATTCTGTTAAAAGTATGTGTAATTTTATTAAAAGTAAATGTAATTCTGTTAAAAGTATGTGTAATTTTATTAAAAGTAAATGTAATTCTGTTAGAAGTATGTGTCATTTTGTTAAAGCTAAGTGTAATTCTGTTAGAAGTATGTGTAATTCTGTTAGAAGCATGTGTCATTTTATTAAAAGTAAGTGTAATTCTGTTAGAAGTATGTGTAATTTAATCAAAAGTAAATGTAATTCTGTTAGAAGTATGTGTAATTTTATTAAAAGTAAATGTAATTCTGTTAGAAGTATGTGTAATTTTATTAAAAGTAAATGTAATTCTGT